TTTATTGAGTTCAGGGGTGAAGTGAGAAAAGCACCTTTAATGTGAAGAAGGATGCAAAGGGAGAATGTAAATGCTCTATGGAATCAGGGGACGCCACAGGCTGGACAAGACAGCTACCAGATCCCTAAGGTAAGAAGAGTCCCAGCCAAGACGACAGAGGCCAAAGCTACAGTGTCTAGGAGGAGTTCAGGTGAGTAAAAGGCCTGCGCGCCTCAATTCACAAAACACAGCCAGTCCCAAAGAAGCCAAATAAAAGCCACCCTGCAGAGATGCACAGAGATGATACCATTGAATATCAGAAACATTTTATAAGGAACTGGAGCCAAAAGGCAAATTATGTCTTCCAGAAGTTCTGGTAGACTGGCAGTAGGTTCTCCTCAGCATGGTGGTGCTGAGAGACAGCAGAGCGTAATCTTCCTGATCATAGCCTGTGATTGTATTCCTGGGATATTATTATTCAAAGTGAGAACTAAGTGAAGACACTCTCAGACAAGGCAAGGCTAAGGGCCTTTACAATTCAGTGATCCCAGCTGAAAGCACTAACAAATGAGATGCTTGAGTAACCCAGGGTATTGATCCCAGAAGTGGATAAAAGGATTCAAGGAGCCGAAAAACAAATTGACAAATGATTGATAAATCTAAATGATGATCAAGTGTTTTAAAAAAGTGAAAATCACTGGGATGTAGCTTGGTAGTAGAGCGCTTGCCTAAAAGATGGAAAACAACTGTTAGGGTCACACAAAGCAACAACTCGGGTGTGTGTGTGTGTGTGTGTGTGTGTGTGTGTGTGTGTGTGTGTACGCACACACTTCTGTGCATATGAGATATGAAGAGATATATTATAAGGAGTTGGCTCATGCAGTTAAGGAGGCTGATACCCTCAAGAGCCTATAGTTTGCAAACTAGAAACCCAGAAGAGCACATGGTTGCAATGATTGTTTGAAAGCCAGCAAGCTTGAAGCACTGGAACAAACCAGTGCTTCATGTAGAATCCAAGGATCTGAGGGGAAGGGCAGTGTGTCAGAACTCAAAGACAAAGAATTCTTTTTCTAGTTCCTCTGATAAGAGGCCCCTGACATGGGAAGGTCAGTTGGCTTTACTGAAGTCTACTATTTCAAACATTAATACTCATGTCTACAGAATCACCCTCACAGATATATAGAACCAACATAATGTTTGACCAGATATCTTCAAATGGAAACAAAATTAACCATCACTGAGACAAGACAATTGGGAAAGATACTTGAATGCAAATACCAGACACATTGGTGTGAAGACTGGTGGGCAAGGTGATGGTGCCGTCTTCATTCTGCATATGCAGAATGACAGAGACTGCACACTTGGTTTAAAAACTTCTTTGAGAGGATGACTGAAGGAGTAGATGCAGATTGTGTTGCATTCAAAGCAATAAAGGGAGAAAGGAAGAACAAATAAAACTTGACAGACTAGAAGGAGAGAAAGGAAGAAAGAGAATGGGACCAGAACATGGACAGTAAGGCGATAGAGATAAATCCAACATAAGTAACAAAAAAAGAGTTTACACAATGCATACTAAACCATGTAAGGTGAATGAATTATAGATCCAGAAGTCAAATTAGGCAGTGGGTCCTTAGGTGTTTATTATATGACTTTACGTGTTTTTTCTGGTATAAGGAATTAATAATGAACATGCCACAGTCTTAAGTATTCCGCCTTAGTTGAAGCATTCCTCGCTGATTTTCTCCAGCGCCTGTCCTCACTGTTCATGTGGCAGTGGCTCCAAGTGACTTGAATTCCTGCTTTGTGCCTTCTTCTATAGTAGATAAAGCTAGATGCACATTGACCAGAGCTGGCGTGGGGAAGCAAGAAAGCTGAAGCTTACTTGACACCCCCATCCCTAGCCACCCCAAGATTTCCCAATTGGCTTCACTTGCCTGGTCGATGTTATTGTTTGTCTCTTTGAGATGCCAGCTCTTAACCTCAGAGTACCTGCCCACAAGCAGGTCTGACTCAGACATGATATGAGACCCCTCCTCAGTCTCAGAAGAAAGCCATGTGTGCAGGACAGGAACTTCCTGGGTCTGCAGCGGAAGCCCGGATTTCATGTTAGAGTTTTCTCTCCTACTCTAAAAGATGGCAGTTTGCAAGAAGTGAAGACAATTTGATAAGCTTAGAGTTGACATGGATTCAATATTGCCGTTTTTACTGTTCCATTTTAAACAACGGAGTCCCTTTATTTTGAGTAATGTTATCTTTAACCTATTCAGATGGTTTTTCTTTTTCTCTTTTCCATTTTCATGTATATATGTGGTATGCAGGTGTGTGCACGCACATGCAATTGAAGGCCGAGGCTGACTTTGGGAATCATCCTCTCTTACTCTTCCATCTTATTTACTGAGGCAAAGTCTCTCAGTCAGAAGCAAAGCTCACTTACCTTGCTGTCCAATTTGCTCCAGGGATCCACTGTTTCCACCTTCTACACTTTGGAACTACAGGGGGATTGCCATACCTGCCTGGCATTTACATGGGTTCTGAGGACCCAAATTCTGGTTCTCATGCCTCCACAGCATGTGCTTTAACCACTGATCCATCTCCTCAGCCTGCAAATGACTTTTTGAAAAGCTTATTGAGTTTGATGCTTAATCCTGAGAATCCTCTATTTTAAGGTTTATACTATGAGGAAAAGTCCACCAACATTTCCTTTTTCTTTTGCTATTTCTTTTTATTCCCTCAAATAAAGTACTTACTTTTCTCAGATCTTGGTGTATTGACTCTCTTATTTAAAAAGCGTTTTAAAATTATTTGAACAGCAGATTTGCATATAATTTGGGAGAGTTTCCCATTGGCTAGCACTTTGAGTCACACTTGCAAATAAATAATATTTCCTTTTTGAGTTGGGTTTCTAAAAACCTTAGTATATTGTGACCAAGTGTGCACAGAGAGGGCTGCTGTTTTCCTTGAGATCCTGCTGGTATCACGGGTAACACAGAAGATGTGTGTGCCACTACCATCTGTGAATGAATGGCAGATCAAAGGAAGTATCTTTAGAGAAGGTGGCTACATGTGTGAACAGCTTCTTTGATCTACTGTCTCTCCAGGCCTTGGATTTAGACTGGGAAAAATGGGCAGATTTACCAGGCATTTTATTGTCTCCTCATCCTGTTCCAGCCATCATCTGCTTCTGCATCTGGTGATGGTTTACTGCTTCGTATTCTCAATACTCATACCACACAGCCATGGTAATTCTGTCAGAAATAATTGGGTATAGCCTAAGTTTATAAAATGCACCAAGTGCATAAGTATTTTTTGGTTCTTACTACTACGTGAGCTTTAACAAGATGGTGTGACAACGATTTTCTCTAAAGACTCACACGAGAACCCTTTAGAGTAATCAGTCCAAGTAATATGGTCACTTCCTACAAATGAGGTCACCAAAGTTGAGAGGCTGTGCTGTTTCCTGGGGTTGCAGAGTTGGTTGCAAGAGGGCAGTGGATAGGACAGTGGGGTGATGCTCTTTGGAGATTCCATATGACTTCTCCACATGCAGCAACTTGTGAGTATGTAGATGTTACTATAAGCATGTACAAGTAACTTGTAAGTATGTAGATGTTGCTATAAGCATGCAGGCATATTATTAACATGGGCAATAACTAAAATAATTATTTTTTTTAGAATCAATGCTATCTTAAGATTCAGACTTAATCTTTTTCCACTAAATATTTACTAATATTTATCATGCCTACCAATGTTGTATCACTGAACTCGATAAAGAAATTATAATAATAATAAACGTTAGACCAAAAATCATCTTAGTACTGAACTGACACAGATCTGTGATCTATAATCCTTTTCTTAACTGTGTGAGTATACAGTACGCATTCAGTTAGTGCTTGCGTGGGTCATTCCTTAAGCCATTTTGCTATATATTTTGGAAGGATTCCCACCATGAGCAAAGTGAGAGCTGGATATCCTACCTAGTTTTTCAAAGGATGTCACCTCAGAGAAATCCTTTCCTGGATGCCTTCCTTGTGCCTCTCTTCTAACATAGCTGTCCCTGGGATTTCAGCATGATTTGCAAGTGGATGAAGCATACTTTTGTTGGAAAATTTATTTATGTATAAAATATGTCTACCTCCTACTCACCCCGCTAAATACACACAGTGAACCCTCCATATCACAGGTTCCACAGGCATGGATTCAAACAACTAATAGAAAATGCATGGGAGAAAATTGCATTTAAAATTAGCAGACTTTTTATTTTTATTTTTCTTATTTGTTAAAGATAGAGTGCAACAATGATTTACATAGCATTTATGTTGTATTAGATGTAAGTAGTCTAGAGATGAAGTATATGTCAGTGTGTTAGGTAGGATAACTACAGTGCTTCTTATAAAGAAATTGAACATCCATAGACTATGATGTCCACAGAGGTCCTAGAGCTACTGGATAAAAGGGTGCAACAGTAGATTTACACAGACACATACATTCACTTTAGATTCCCTAACTATCAGTCTGTCTAACCTACATTCCTCATCTATGAAATGGGCATAGCAATTTCTGGCAGTTGATGAGGATTATTTTGGAAAGATTTAATATTCATAGATAGCAGAGAATTTTTTAATTGACATTATTAAAATCTGTAAGTCTGACCTGCTAAGGTGTTATAAAATGCCTACCTGTAAAAGATAAATCTCTTCAGATTGTTTCTGTTACATGTTTTTCTTTTCTTAAGTTGGCTTTTTCAAAGCTAATTTATCTGCAGATAGACATATGTTTTAGGTATGAACTTGTTAATTTACCTTGGAAAAAATTAGGTCACATCAAATCTGGCAGTGTGGCTTATAAACTTGGCAAAATGGTCTAATTAAAAGCTCTTCGTGGATGCAAAGCTAGGGGAAATGATGAGTATCAGTCCTGTTTTTGTTTTCATGGGCTGCTTGTGTGTAGGTATGTGTCACTTCTCATATTGTATTAAAAGCATGTTGACTGTCTGCTCATACTTCATCTCTTTCCTTCCACAGCCTCCAAGTCTGTTATAAATAGTATGCTGCGGGACCCTTCTCAGATTCCAGATGGAGTTCTCGCAAATCAGGTCTATCAGGTATTAATCACAGCTGTCTGTTTTCAGTGGCGATGCTGTTATCTGCCTAGCCGAGTAAAGGGTTTTAAACCTCATTTAATTACTGTCATCATAAACTATCAGTGAGGTCGGGGTGCACCATAAGTGGCAATGCAATATTTGAGAGACGAGCATTTCACTTTTTAATAGCTTGCTTTTATAGTAAATAAAAAGCATGCAATTTCTGTTTTCTGTGATTAAATCTGAATAGCTTTTTGATAGCTTTCTTTTGGGTGGGTAGGAGGGAGAGAAAAGTAATGACTGCTCTTAGAGTGTTTGCTGTGGTAGAGTCTGTAGTCACCCCAGCTCAGACCCTTCTCTTATGCCTCTGCAGTGCATTGTGAATGACTGCTGTTATGGACCGCTGGTGGACTGCATCAAACAGTATCCTTTCCCATAAAATTTTAGGTGTACAATTGACGAGCTTAGACTCAGTGTCTAGGAGGAGATGCGTCTAGCTTTAACCTGACATAAAGTTCTGCTTCACAAAACACATTTCATACTCTTCTATTTTACATTCAGTCAGCTGGAGGGTCACTGCAGACCATTCTTTTCCACTGCTTACGAAAAATCAGCTAGGCCACAGGAAGATGTCAGTTCAGCAGTTGCACATTCATGTGCTTATTTCAAACTGCTTGGTTTTCAATGAGTTTAAAGGCACAGAGTCATTAGGCAGGTAACATACTGTCTTGGAATGTATCTAACCATCCCAGTGGCCATTTTTTAAAATATAACAAAGTTCTATTTAAAATGAGCCAAATTCAGTTGAGTGTTCTAGAATAAATTTTGCTCCTAGAGTTAAAGGATGATGATATTAAAATGCTGCCAGAGACCATCACATTTTAAAGGGCAGTAGACTCTCAATCACTTAAATACTGATTGCAATCTGCACTGTCATTTGGATCCCTAATAAACATTTTTAGAGAATCCATGCTAATTTTTCCCTTGGGACTGACTTTAAGGCTGTGAAAGCAGATGTCTGGTCATTTGTCATATAAAATCATTGAGATTCCTAAGGAGTTAATGTTTACTTCTTAAAATAAGATGGAGCAGACAGCAGCCATTTCAATAGAGATTATCAGTAAATTTAGTGGTATGTGACCACACTGAGAATTCTGATAACCCTTGAGGAAAAAGACTACTTAAATAGTAATCATCACTTTTGGTGGAGATCATTTCTAAATCCACAAGTCTCACACTGCTTCATATATGCACAGCCTTCCTGGACTAGCTTTTGTTAACAGGAATGGCACTGGGGCCAGGTGTGACTCAGTGATTATCAGTCAGAGTTTTTGTTGGATGCTCTTTAAAGCTGAATGTGCATATATACATATCCACACATGTACATGTTCATGTGTATACTTATTTATGTCTCAGCTTGTTTCACAAAGGCTTAGAGTCAGTGAGGAGAAAGTTTTTTTGAGACTTGATCTTACTACGTAGTCCAGGAAGGATGGCCCTAAACTTGCAATCCTCCTGCCTCTGTCTCCTGAGTACTGGGCTTACAAGGTATGTGCACTACCGTACCCAGCCCCAAATTTTTGGAAAGGAAATTTACTTCCTTTCCTTAAAAGAACTGAGCATAATCTTTTAATGGAACCCTCTTGCAAGAATTTTGAGTAAGTGGAATATAGCCATTCACACTTACACACTTGGACCTGCTCTGCTAGCTAAAATGAACAATATTTTCAGAAGCTGGCTTTTTTTATTAAAGTGTAACTATTCTTCTATTTTCAGTGTAAAATTAATGGTGCTGATAAAAATTGTAAGAGTGCCAACCTCATGTTGGTGTGGTGATAAACTTTAGCACATTTATATAACAACTGACACCATCTCAGAGTATCTGGGGCTGAATTACATGTTAATTTTAAAGCACATAAAATAGTTAAAAATCAATTTAAAGTTAAGGTTTTAAAAGCATAATGTCTTCTGAAGGATTGCATATTGATTTTAAATATAACTACCTAATTATATATGCATGGACTAAAGTATGAAGTCAACTGCTTTGTAAATGCCAGAAGGCTATTTTTCAGTAATAGTTGAAATGCTTACGGGAAACTAGATTGCTGTGCTCCTGGCGAGGAAAATGGCTTGTGAGGTTATTTACAAGTTTTGCCCCATGGTCACTGCCATACATCAATAATAGGTATTCTTATAGACAATGTCTAAGTGTTTCTGCTTATGGAGCATTATAAATTCTGTCTCAAGTATTTTCCTTATATTTTTTGCCATCACTCACTTTCCCCTTTCAGTTGTGTATTGGCAGCAGACTCTAACATACTGCATGATTTCAATTGATAAAGATAAATGATATATGTAAATAAATTGTATTCACCAACTAGATTATAATTTTTGTAGTTCCATTATGCTTATTACCAGTAAAAATTACTGCTTTTTCAAGCTTTATTTTCTAGACCCTGCATTTTATGTTTATTCACATTAAGAAAGCATAATCAAGAAGTATATCTTTCCAAAATTTTAAATTGGTAATTGCATTTACTATGCAAAATAAAACAGGCTGGGAAGTTTACGGAGACACCAATTGTATCTTTTCACTGAAGTGGTAGCAGTTTCATATAACGTAAATATGCTTGCAAAGGTGTTTCCTAGACCGATCAACAGGAATTTCTTTATTTCACACTCAATAAAAATGACTGGTTTTCTTTGTGAGTGAAAAATGGTCTTTTGTGTTGGTAATGTTTACATTGCTTACCCTCACTAAAGTACATCATTTTCTGAAGAAGATAGCACACATTTGGTAAATGAAATAGGTGCAAAACCTTCTTCCTCCATTATGAAAATGTTATGTGGAGGCCTTTGTGTTCAGAGGATAAAGTAAATGGGTCACTTACTAAGATGACATCGCACAAATCACAGTGACAACAAGGGTGTTACTGTCATGGGCTCTTTTTCTTTGGGTGCCTGCTGTACTTTCTCTTGTACAGCCACACCTGCCCCTGCCTTTCCCTTCACAGTTCATACTCACCAAGGAAAAGCACACTGGAGAGCAGTCCTTCAAGTTTCCAAAGTATGACTGCAGGACACAGCTGTCAGAGGGCGGTCTGAACAGAGAAGTGAGGACAGAGGATGCTACAGGAAGCGTCTAGGGCTGTGGGTTTCATCTCTGTGCCATCAGTAACCTCAGTTTCATGATTCAACATTTTAGATGTAAATAATTTACAACAATAAAAGTGAGAGTACGTTTCTGTGGAATGGAAGTAAATAATTTAGTTTGAAAATGTGGGATGCCCCTGGTAATGTGAGACCATTGAGGCTTATTCATCACGTCTTCAATGGACTCAAAAAATGTGTGAAATTTGGTGATTCAAATTTTTCACTTCTTTTATTTCCTGTTAAGAGTTAAATAAGTGCTGCCATGCACATTGGAACAGGGAAAACAACAGGAGGAAAAGCAGTAATGATGACTCTCTTTGTTCTGAATGCGAACATAAATTGTTCTTTCATCTGTAACCCATTAATACAGAGCAAGTTAATTTTCTAAGGATTTTTTTTCTTTTTCTTTTTAAATTCTTATTTATTTATATGTGTGTGAGTGTTTTGCCTGCTTCTATGTAAGTACACCATGTGTGTGTGTGTGCACCACCCATGGAGGCCAGAAGAGGGTTTCAGATCCCCTGGAATTGGAGTTATGGACAGTTGTCAGCCACCATTGTGGATGCTGGGAATTGAACCTGGGTCGTCTGGAAGAGCAGCCAGGGCTCTTAACTATTGAGCCATCTCTCCAGCCCCTCTAAGAGTTTTTCTCCAAGTGATATATGAATTGTATTTGATTTAAGTTGAAACCTTGCAGTGCATGATCAGACTCACAGTCTTTGGTGAGTCAAAGGATGCTGCCCCCAGGTTGATATTACTAGGGCCATGAAGAATGAAGGTGATGATCCAGAGGGTTACTAACCAGTGCTTTCAGTGGAACAGAATAATATAGCTCTCTTTTCGAGACTTTGTATCATCTCATTCCTTTGGAAAACAGACCAGACTTCTAAATACCACCCCTGGCTTCATTATATGAGCCAGGAGACCTTCAGCAAGATCCTTAGCCTTTCTGAACCTTTCTTTACTTGTTCTAGAAAACTGGACCTCAAGTATCTATTCTTGGAGTACTGGTGAAGATTAAGTAAAATCTCAGAGTACTTATGATAAAAAGTTTCCTACATGGTACTTAAGAAACGTTGACTCTTCTCAATATGTAAGTCTAATGCTGTTGGTAACCTGTATGGAGATTATAAACAGGCTTTGCAGAAGTTCTTTCTTGACTTATTTCACTGTTGTTGTTTTCCTTTCTTTTCTTTTTGTTTTCCCTATCAGTGCTGGAGATGGAACCCAGGGCATCAGGAATGCTAGGCAAACACTACCACTGCACTACAACCCCAGCCCCTCATCCTTGGCTTTGGCATACATTCCCTTGGCTTTGTGCAAGTTCTTCTCTGTTTCCTCATCTGTAAAACAAGGCTTATTATAGTTGTGAGGATGAAACTACACACTTAAATCACCTAATGCAGGAGCTGGAGAGATGAGTCAGTGGTTAAGAGTGCTTTCTACTCTTGCAGAAGACCCAGGTTCAGATCCCAGCATTCACATGGCAGCTCACCACTGCCTGTAACTCCAGTTTCAAGGGAGCCAGCACTGTCTTCTGGCCCCCAAGGGCTCCTGCATACATGTGGTACACATAAACTCATGCAGGCATACACACATTCATATAAATTAGAAATAAATCTAAAAAAATTGTTTAATATGTCTGCCATTGACAATCAGTGAAACATATGCTTATGTATATCTGTTCACATTCATATATATATGTATATATATGAATATATGTATATACATATATATACATAAATACACACATGTAAGAGTCCACAGCTTCTGGGCCCACCGAAGTGAAACAAAAGCTGCTCACTGACAAGTGGATTGGTTTACAGAACTCATAAGACTGGAAACTCTGTTAGGGGAAGACTAATAAGTGTTCTTTCTTGTACTCAGTGCTTCGCTAATATGCACCAAATTGAATTGGAGTTTTTTAAACAAAAATTAATAGATATTTCAGCAGTCAAAGTTGGCACACACCTTTAATCCCAGCCCTCGAGAGGCAGAGGCAGGCAGATCTCTGTGAATTCAAGGCCAGTCTGGTCTACATAGTGAGTTCCAGGTCAGCTGGGCAATAGGGAGACCCTGTCTCCAAAAGACCAAAATGGATGAATGAACAAATGAATGAATGATATTTTAAGTAGCCCCCTCTTTTTTAATGAAATTAAAATCACAATGATTTATAAATCTTTAACAAAATATAAGCATTACCGGAAAATTCCATTGACTCATTGAAATGAGAAGAAAAATTTATCATTCATCAGAGGTGTAAGCCAGAAGTGGAAAGATGTGTGTATAATTACCATAATTCTTCATTTCACCTCGACATACAGACTGGGTGTTAAATTTCCCTGAGTGTGCAGCCCTTCCTGTGTTCCGTCCTTAACTAAAACCCACAGTGCTATTGGTTATGAGCATGAAGTCCTGCTGAGAGGTCTGCTTCTAGAGAAAAACCTGTCCTTCCTGGGTAAGTGTCACTGCATCCTCTGCTTATAATGTCACCATGAGTGCGTGAAGCTTCATTTTTAGAATCTCCACCTGCAGTTACTGTGTACCAAAGGAAGAGACTGATGATTGATGCTATGCGTGGTATCTTTTATTGATTTAGAACTGAGAAGGAACTCTGTTACCTAATCTCCTATATATATATAGCACATGCACAGGCCTTGCAATTAATATTTTATAGAATAAGTGGCTGAAAAAATGCTTTAGTATCTGTTGGAGTATTACTTTTGGTGTCATGAGGTATTAACCATAATCTAAGCCTTATGAGAGAAAGAAACAAAGAAATATTGTCTATAAAATGCTTTATGTATTAAAAACAACAGAAAAATTAGGTATGTTAGGTATGTTTGTCTTGTGTTTGGAACAGGGTAGTCTTTTTATGGGACAGCAAAATACTAAACTTTTTATGCCAAATATTAATTGTATCATAGATTTAGTATGATTTTTCAAAATCCCCATATGTCTGAATTTGTATGTGTTCTAGTAGAGAACCTTATTGTGTATTGTTATTTCTCTCAACATCTCTTCAGCATTAGAAATAAAGCCTCAAAGGACGTACATGTCATAATGGAGCATGGAAGCCATAAAGCACTCAACGACGCATTAATTCCTCTTCTTCATTGTTTCTGTGGTAATTGGCAAAGGATCCACACAAATCTTGTTCGTAAGCAGATTCCTACAGACACTGAAGAATCTGTATAGTATAGCTTTAGGAACAAAAAAGGGAAAATATTCCATTATATAGTTTTATTCCAAAATAGATAATACATTAGCCAAAGAAAGCCAAATACGTGGTCTTACATCACGGTAGAAAAGGACGTTTTTTAATGTAAGTTCTACAATCAATTTTTTTCTTACTGTTAATCACTTTCAATAACAAACTAGAGAATGGAGTAGGAGATGCTATTAAATTGTTGGTTGTTTGAAGCTGAGAAGGATCCTAAATATTCACTAGTTGGGGTTAAAGAACATTGATAAATTAGGAAAATGGTCTCCAGTTACTAAGTTAAATACTAGAAGCAGCAAAGTATTTTCATGTAAGAGGGGCAGTTGAATTGTTGGGCCTATGGTAAAGTGGGACTGAATTGCCTTTTTTATTTTATTTTTATTTTTTATTTTATGTGGTAAGTGTATTGTCTGCATGTCTGTAAGTGTACCCATGTCCTGCAGTGCCTGTGGAGGGCAGAAGAGGGTATTGGATCCCCTGGAACTGGAGTTACGAATGGTTGTTAGCTACCATGTGGGTGCTGGGATTAGAACCCAGGTCTTCTGTAAGAGTAGCCAATGCTCTTAACTTCTGAGCCATCTCTCCAGCCCCCCATTTATTTATTTTTATATTTTACTTATTTTTATTTTACGTATATGAGTGTATTGTCTGCATGTATGTAAGTGCACCCATGTCGTGCAGTGTCTGTGGAGTTCAGAAGAGGGCTTCAGATTCCCCTGGAACTGGAGTTATAGATGGTTTTAGCTGCCATGTGGGTGCTGGGAATTGAACCCAGGTCCTCTGCAAGAGCAGCCAGTGCTCTTAACCCCTGAGCCATCTCTCACCCCCCTCCATTGCCTTTTGAAAAAATCTAATTCTAAATAAAAAGAGTTATAGTGCCAGTTGTAAAGGGTATGAGGCACCACAAGATGCTTCCGAATTACAGAGCTCTGGTAATATCATAAAGCATCTGATCACACCAGTTACTCAGCTGCAGGTCAGTAAGAGTATAGGCAAATCGAGTTTTGTTGTTTTATATTCCGAACTAAGCAGTCGTCTTTTCAGAGCTGGCTGGTATAACTCTTGGGCACCATCTGTCTAGGCCAGACAGGCCCTCAGACCCATTTCTTTGGCTAACCTAACTGCTCTCTTCCCCCCTGAGGACTAGCAGACTCCAAATAGAAGAACAGAGAGCTTAGATGCAGCCTAAATTTAGGTCTAGACTCTCAGATAACCTGAATTGGGTATGTTAGATTAGACACACCTCAGCTGACAAAATCAGAGCAGGAATATGGTCAGAGCTGCTTCCAGTTACATGAATGTATAGAAAGGAGACAGAACTGAAATCGAGGTGTCTCATATGTATCATTGTCTGTGGGATGTAGAGGTAATTGTTTTATGTGTTTTCCTAGGGAAATGTGAGCAAGTAAATGTCTCTTCACTCTAGTAAGGGCACTAACTACAGACCAAACAGTTCCACCCAAGTCATGTTTGGTGAACCGCTGAGATTACTGGGGTTACTTACAAGACCATGGGTGACTCAAAATTAGCTTCATCACAGAAACGCCAGCATGGGTGACCACTCATAAAAGCTTCATCCTGAAGCTTCCTCTACAACCTTCAGTTAGCACCATGAAGGGCGTTTCCTCTTCCCAGCAGTTGGCCAGCCCCACAGCCTTTGTCTTTCCACCAACCACATTGACTACAGATAGAGCCCTGGGCTGGGTCAGAGTGTCCTTTCTTGCAGAATAGAATTGAGTACTGCCTATCCCTGGAACAAACTTAATCTTTTACACCTGTACTGTTTCATCTTTTATGCCTTCCATGAACTGCTGCTCAGGCTTTGAAGTCTTCCAGAATCTCACTAGCACAGCATTTGGTGTTCTGTTCATTTTTCCCCCTAGGCACTCTCAACACAAATCTTGCCACATTTGCCTTTAGGTGACTAGGACAGGGCTTTGCCCTTTTCCCATTTCTTTTTGTTTGTTTTACCATTTTACAAACGCAATGGACAGGCCAGTCTGGGCCTAAGTTGTTCAGATATACAAGAGCTTCTTGTGCTTCATGACGATTATATCCCACCATAGAGCTCAGCCAAGCACTAAAGCTTTAGACGAGTCCTGAGGTCCAGGGTGAATCAACTGCTTTCTCTACTTCCTGTGAACCTAGTCCTAAGAGGCTCAGTGCATCAAACTGAGTTCTCTCAGTAATACCTATCCTTCCTTTGTTGTCCTCCAGTTCCTGATATCCCATGGAGACCTCAGATGGTGACAACCAAGAATCTCTAATGCCTCATATAAGACAGTCCATCAGGGACTTTTTCTCTTCATATTGCCTCAGGTTATGCAGCTTTGTATTCATAAGGGATGGTAGTTATACTACTCAGTTCCTCTGCTTCCCTGATACAGATTGATGTCATCCAACCCCATGTCCCACAGCCTCATGAACCTGGCTGTGAATGTTTCTTCTACTTTGTTTAAAAACTACCCAATTCAATCAGTTGAGGTGCAGAATTCTCTGATTATTATAGTTTCCTGGACCTTCTACATGCTGAATTGGGCATTCTCTGTATTAAAGGTTGAACCTAGAGGGAATCCTCTATCACTTTTCACTGGGCAACTGCTCCCTATCTGACTTTTCCTATGGCTGCCAAGTCTTTGGATCCCAGAAATGGCTCTTTCTGGTTTTTACTTTTTCCCTTGCATCCAAGCCAACACCTATCTCATCTTCCCTTTCTCTACTTTCCTGCCAAATCAGAGACTAATGCTGGAGATAGACTCCATATGTCTTTTTCTTGTTGTAATTCTCTCTTACATGGGCAAATTCTTTCTGGGCAAACAGCTCAGACTCAATTGCATGACTTATCATCTGTCCTAGTTACTTTCTATTGCTGTGATAAATCACTGACCAAAACCAACATGGGTAGGAAAGAGTTTATTTCAACTTATTCTTCCAAATGATAGTCCATCACTGAGGGAAGCCAAATCAGGAACTTAAGCAGGGCAGGTACTGAAGCAGAGACCATGGAGAAACACTGCTTAGGGGCTTGCTCCTCTGGCCCGTGCTTGGCCTGCTTTCTTGTACAATGCAGGACTGCCTGCTCGGGGGTGGCACCATTCTCAGTTACATCACTCAACAATCAAGAAAAATCCTCACAGATGGCCACAGGCATATTAGATAGAAAAAAATGTGCTAATTAAGGGTCCCTCTTTCCAGGCATGTCAAGTTGACAACTGGAGCGATCTAGCACATCACCCAAAGCAAAGGCCATGCAGGAGCCATCACAGCTTATGATCCTGTTCCATGTGTGCTAATTTTAGGGACTGCAGTGCATTTTTAAGTTCACCAAGCATTTGGGGGTATCCTCATACTCATGTGGTAGACCTCATTCATCAAGGAGGCATGCTACCCCATACAATATAGAGGAAGAGACACTATAAGAGTCCCCTTAAGGATGCCTCACCCTCCAGTGCCTTAGATATTTTTGTATGTCGTATCCATTGCAGACAGCATGGAACTCCCACTACAGCAAGGAAACACACCATCCTATACCCCATAAGAAAGGTATCCATATGGCAATTGCCCCCATGAACTCTTCTCCCTCAGACAGAAGAGCCCTTGTTGCGATTCTCAGCTGTTCTCCCCAACTCATCTTTAATTCTCTTGGTCCCTGTTTGGACACCAGTTGTTCTGTGTGACTTCTCTTAGAGAGACATGAACAAACATTCATCAACCTAAATAAGACATCAGTGATACACCAATGACTTCCATCCAAGTCCTGGAGAACCAGTGAGTTTGCTGAGGCTATGCACAGGATCATTTGTGACTCAAAGGCAGCTGTATCACAGAAAAACTTATCCCCCAAAATGGGTGCCCATTCATAAAAGCTGCCTCCTAGAGCTTACAACCTGCAGTCAGTTCCACCAGAGACTCTCCTGCCCCAAGGGAATTGTTTATACATTTTTTTATAAGCTAGGGGAATAGCCTTATGGATCTTGCAACTTTCTGAGCTCTGTAAGTTCTGTTAGCTTCCTGAGTCTCATGAGCCTCACTGCAGGAGGGAATGTTTCAATTCAGAAGCAATAGCTATTCAACAATACTCTTAAACTGATCTTAAAAATAAATGAGTACTAGTAAATGTAGCCAACTCTATACAACAACCTCAGTTCTATTTTGAGGTATTTCCTCATCAGAATACAAAAAACTGTTAATTTATTCTATGCATACTAAGTATTCTAATGTAGTACTAAACTTAA